CTTTTAGTGTGGTTTGGCCCATGTGCATATGGGATTATTACTCTGAACTAGTTTCTAATAATGCTGAAAATCTGTGGAACATAGGTGTTTCCTGGCGCTTGGACGGCTATATTAGTTTTTCTCGACAATGCTGGTATCTGGAATCTCCGTGCTCAGAACCTCGATTCCTGGTATCTTGGCCAAGAAGTATATATTAGCGTTGTGAACCCCGAGATCACAGACAAAAACGAGCTATCTTTGCCGGACAACACAATCTATTGTGGTGCACTATCACCTCTGCAGAAGTAACTTTCCTTCCTTTCTCCCGATTTCTTTTACCTCAGTTTTTATACAGCAAAAACTCCTGAAATTTAATCACTAATTTCTCTAAGTTTCATCATTCATCCTAGATTTTCATTCAAAACTTCATTCCAAATCTTCCAAACAGCATGATCTGAATCATTCCAAACCCCTTTCTTGTTTTCAGAGACCAAGCACAGAGAGTAAATTTCTCCAAGGGCACACCGCAATTTCCAAGAACAGTCCAAACAGCTGTAATCGCAATCGTTGCAGCCATAATTCAAACTTTAATGACACGGTAAAATGCCAAAGCCTCACTCAACCATGACACTTCAAATCTGCGTAAGGATCTTCTCCCTCGTTTTTGGGCTTTTCTTTGTTGCCTTCGTGTATATTTCGAATCAGCAAAAGAAATATAACCCGGATTATATGATTCTCCATTCTAAACGTCATTGACTACGATTTGTGTATCTCTGTTGTGTATTGTTTGTAGGCAGTAGCGCCATAACTGTAAATACCAAGTTGCTTGCCTGTTGCGTGCAAGTCAATTCAGTGGTTAACAGTTAACTAAGCAACTTGCAAGAAAATGTTCTATTCTTGAAATGTGATTTCTTTTTGTTAGGTCTGCAAATATTATAAGCAAAAAAATGTCCCAAAGATTGTAACACAAAATCTACCAGGCTTTTGCTTTAAAAAATCAGAATCAAAATCGCCCCGAAAGGGGTAGATGGGTTGGTGGATCATGATTCTTGTACCAGAAGGTTACGAGTTCAATTCTTGTCAACACTCTCTTGGTTGAGCCTGTTTCCTAGTGCGGTTTGCAGGTTATTATACACTTTTGTTATGTAAAAATAGTGCATATATAGCATCTAGCTTGCAATCGAAGCGGTGGACCACTCCAATTGCATAACTTGAACCAAACACGAGAATCTTATATTACCAAGTAAACATAATCTTGGTTATCTTATATAACCTGAACCAAACGCTCCTTAAAAGTCTACTCATCTGGGTTCAGATCCTATTAAATGAATTGTATAGATTTGTTTTATTAGTGTCGCTAAAATTGAGGGAGTAAGAATTGAGTGTATTAGTATAACTCTTTTGAAATTGCCTTACACTACTTTGTTAGAAAATCTTGTCACAAGTCACAACTTTGGCATGCATCCAATATCGCAAAACGAGGAAAAAGAAACAAAAGTTGTTCCAAAATAGATGGTTAAGTGGGTGAAATATAATTTTTATACAAAAAGATTACGAATTTAATCATTGTGACACAATTATTTGAGATTGAGGGTGTCACCTGCCATATGAGAATTTTTTTTTTTTTTTTTTCTAGATCTCCTCCCCCCTCCCTTTTTATTTTGAAAATAAAGAAACTAATTCATTATTCATATGCTGAAACGTTTACAATAAAGATTAATAAATGATCAAACATTCCTTACAGTCAGACATAGAACAACTTTCCTAGCAATGCTACAAAAAACTTGATTCGTAGATTATTTCACAAATTTGAAGCTGAATTCTTTGGAGGAACTTAAAGCTTTTTTAATGATTTGGCTAAACGTACCCAAGGCTTACACTGGTTGATTGCACACCACCTGTGTATATATTTCCATTCTTCTATCCATTGGCAATATCTCCATCGAACTGAATTACATATCATAGTTCAGAGGAGTCTATTTTTCATTGTCATGTTTGTCACCCAAGATGAGATTCACATACGCCATGACTAATTTTTATCGTTTCATGCTTTATGAAAAAAGAACTTGCCAAGTAAACGAGAGGAAGAAACTCGTCAAAAGAACAAGAGGAAAAACACATAAACTGTAAACAAAACTAAACCAGTAAAACAAAGCAAATGGATACAACAGTGTGAAAATAAGGGAGTAAGGACCGATACCGATGGAGATGAAGGAGAAAACGGTAAAGGCAGAGAAGACAATGAAGACGAGCACTGTCTGTGGTGGAGATGACAGCAGGGGAAGACGATCGGACGCCACCTCCGATCCGCTTGCTTCACGGAGGCGGCGGCCATGTAGAATACCCGAGACGAGAGAAAGCAGATCTCCCCTTCTTTTTGATACATATAAATGTCTAAAGTCAATCAACTTGGACAAATTTGTATGAAGTATCATACATTTCTCAATTCCATACAATTAGTGTAATAATTAACGTCACAATTAGGGTGTATAATGTCACTATGTACTAAAAAAGAAACATATTCCAACCGCTTTTCCGACACCTAAAAAAATGAAACTTTATTAATTTTTCAAAATTTTCAACCATTTTTAGATGGTAAAAAATTTTAACTACTTTTTTTAAAACGGAGCGTGCACAATGAAATGAAATAATGACCATGCCTTATATATATAGTATGACACTTTAATAGTGTTTTATGAGTGTTAGAACTTTAAATATGCTTATGCTTATGTGAATAAATAAGTACAACTCTAGTAAACATAAGGCATGCCATATGAAATGATTTTGTCATATATATACTCCACCAAACATGCATCCACTTCCTTTAATTTGTCATATATATACTCCACCACACAATCATCATCATTTCGGCGAAGGTAGCATGGCTTTGAAGAATCCCTTGAAAAGAACCCTAACTAGCTAGCCGACAAAATATATAAAAATGACACAAACAATAATTAATCTATGTATTTACAATAGTGAATTTATGAATATGAATTTATATATTTATAGTAATGGATTTGTGTACTTACAATAGTGAATTTATTTAAATTATGTATCTAAGTAGTGACTTTTATGTATCAAATTTATGTACATGAAATTAAAACATTACATTGTCTTTGTCAAGATATCACTCGTTGTGGAATTCCCTGGTGCAAAGACTTGCAACCAATTATGGAGACTCAGATATCGTGTTCGAGAAAAAAACCTAAAGGCGCCAGGAAATTCCACAACGAGAGGCATAGTTGTCCCACTGGGCGTGTCAAAAATCAAAATATGTAAACGCAAAAACTCGAATTGTTTATATCCAAATTCAAAGTATGTCGGTTATAATGAAGTATGTATCAAACAAGAAGGGGTACAATCTTTTGATATGAGAAGTCATCTGATTCTCTACGAGAAGTATGCCAAAATAGAAGTATGCCGAATTCGGAGTATGCCGAATTGAAAATATGCCAAACTGGAAGTAGTTCCTTATTGAAGTGCATTCGGAGTTAAGTAGCTTGTTCCTCAATGAAGGGAGTAGTTCCTTATTGAAGTGCATTCGGAGTTAAGTAGCTTGTTCCTCAATGAAGGGCTTATATGCAGCTTGATCTTCAAAGAAGGGCGTAACGAGATTCCGGTAGAGTTTCGGTATGCAATCTTCAGAGCTCCATTTCTTCTAAATGAAACCACTCTTTATAGTGGTGAGTGACTGAGTGTAGAGAAAATCTAACAAACCCTATCCCTTTGGATAATTCATAAATTTAATTTAATTTTTTTGAAGGGAAATTTAATTTAATTGTTTGAATTAAATATGAGAAATGTATCGGGACATCCAAGTTCGTGATTTCATCCAACTTCAAATAATATCATATTATCCAAATTTCCTCAATATTATATAATCCACATAATTTTGATGTGCCAAATAAGTCAAACCCGCTAATTATGTAACCTAATTAATGCAACCACCCTAGTCCAACTCAATTAAATATTGAGTTAATACCCAAAATCGTCCTCGACTATAGTGATTTTTCTCAATTTCGTCCTAAATGACTTTGGTGACCTAATATCGTCCCAGACTTTTGTGTTTCGCTCAATTTCGTCATCCATTTGTTATTTCGTCAAATTGGTGTTAAATAAAGGGACAATTCAGTAATGTCAATATTGATCTTTCTTTACTTTCAACTTGTGAAGTGCGAAATTTCTCTTTCTTGTACGAATTACACCCAGACCTGCAAATCAAATTTTATATTCGCAGTTTTAGGAGTAATTCTGGGAGTAATTCGTAAAAAAAAAGGGATTTCGCAGTTCACATGTTTATGAGTAAAGAGATGCCAATATTAAAATTACTTAATTGTCTATTTATTTAACACCAAATGGACAGAATAACAAATGATGGACTAAATTGAGCAAAAGCACAAAAGTCTGGGACAAAATTGCGCGAAACACAAAAGTCTGGGACGATATTAGGTCACCAAAGTCGTTTAGGACGAAATTGAGAAAAACCACTATAATCGAGGACCATTTTGAGTATTAACTCATTAAATATTCCACTATCTTAGACCGAACAATCTAACATCCAATTACATTTAATTAAGTAATTAAATCAATTAATTATTTATTGAGCCATTTAATTAACACAATTAAATAAATAATTGTCCAACTAACCCAATTAAAATAATTAATTTTATAATCAATTATCAATTAAGACCCATTAATACACAACCACTTAAAATTTCAGTTCTTACAACACTATATATAGTAGTTCGCTCCAAATCAAAGTATATATGGCAGATACTTCAATGTAATAGAGTCAATAACATTAAAATATATATATATATATATATATATATATATATATATATATATATATATATATATATATAGAGGGTAGTGCCATCACTGTCACTGCCTTACTGTTGAAGTTTCCTTTGAAGGAAACTTGGACAGTAAACGACAAAATCTGACCACTTTCCTTCCAAGCAACGAGTAATATCCCACTATCTCACACTCTCATACTAATTACAGTCAAATGTTCACCAGAAATCATTAAATTTACCCACTTTTCTGGACTGTATTTAATGTTTTAGTACATCTATACTATAGCAGTAGATATATCTCTGTTCTCTCAGAGTCTCAGAACAGTATCCTCATACTTAAACATGGTTAAAAACGGTCTTCCTTTGCACCTCACACTTGTCTGCTTCTTGCTTCCTCTACTTCAGCTCACAAAATCAGCACCCGATGGTGCACTGGTCACTCGGATTCCTGGCTTCAATGGCACTCTCCCTTCAAAGCACTATGCTGGGTATACACTTTTTTATTTATTCGTGCATTTCTTTAAATGGGTATTTTGCTGTTTATTGGGCAGTTCCTTTTGTTGGTTGTTTGGTGATTTGTAGTAGTAATTGTGTTTTTGCCCGGATGGATGTGGTGGAAAGTGAAAGTTTGACTTTTTTCTTGTGTTTTGGTAATGACTATATCTGTTTGTGTTTTTGCTTGAATGGGAATTCAGGTATGTGACGATAGATGAGACCTCTGGGAAGAAACTGTTTTATTACTTTGTGGAGTCTGAAAGAAACCCATCCAAGGATCCAGTGGTGCTGTGGCTCAATGGGGGGCCTGGCTGCTCTAGCTTTGATGGCTTTGTCTATGAACATGGTAACTGTTCTAATAAGTTAACCCATACATAACTTCTAACTTTACTATTTCAGCAGTAGCTAGAATGAAATTGTTGTTATGATTTGATGCCATTGTGAGATACTGAGATGTTGTTGGGAATTGGGTTTACACAATTGAGTGGCACTTTCCTGGTTTTTATAGTGTTAGCCTTAGAAGAAGAGATTTGATTTCTCCATCTTCTTTCTTTATCTCATTTGCAGGACCTTTCAATTTTGAGCTAGGGAAGACAAGTGGTAGCTTGCCCACTCTGCATCTTAATCCTTATAGCTGGACCAAGGTAATAATTTATATGGATTCACAGGTCTCTGTAACTATACTACTATATGACTTACCTGCCTTGCCCCTCCCTGCCACTACCAAGTAAAAACTTAGGACATATGCTTGAAAATATTATAAAAAAGATTAGTGACAAAAAATAGTATCTTTTTAATTTTTGTAATTTTTTAAAGAAGTCAATGTATTAACACTTATGTAGGATGTGAGATGAATATCATGCACTAACTGAGGTAGGCGTATATTATTATTATTATTTTTAATTTTGGAAAATGGTATTTGCACCAAATATTGTACCAATTGATATGGTTTCTGAAAAGTGTCAATTCACTAGCTATCTATGGATTGCCCGACCTCACCATAAGAATAAGATGAAGTCACATGAGATGGCACAAAAATTTGGTCCATATAGCATTGTCATTTTCTTTTAATGAAAGAAATAAGAATGATGAAACTTTGATATTATCAAATCCCCAGGCTAAATGGAATCAGATTAACTGTCAGTAATTCATCTTTCCCAAATTTAAACAGATCAGTTATTGTCTGTCTTGAAATTGTGTCATTTGTGTTTATATCCAACCAATAATTACCCAAAAGCAAAATAAAATAAAGAAGTACAGATTGGGGGATTTTTTTTTCCCATATTCATCACCTCTAATCTGTGTATACCTTCTGTTCTGCTGCACCTGTATCAAAACCAAAATTCTTCTCTATAATCCTAACCTTTAACCTTCGATCAACTCTCTACTTCACCAACTATATATTGATGAGATATAAGTATTGTGATTGTATTTAATTTTCATTGATGACTTAATATTTATGGAAATTCTTCTAATCCTCTCAGGTTACCAATATTATATATTTGGATTCTCCTTCTGGTGTTGGATTATCCTATTCAGACAATGAAACTGACTACATAACGGGCGACCTAAAGACTGCTTCTGATTCCCATACCTTCCTCCTCAAGGTATCCTACAAGTAACTGGGTCCATAGTGTTAAAAATTCTAAAACTTCCTTTTTATGACTTGTTTTGGCTCTTCTGATGTGGCTTATTCTTGTTTGCTTATTGTTGAGACTAGTGGTTTGAGCTATATAAAGAGTTCCTTCCCAACCCGTTTTTTATAGCCGGAGAATCTTATGCTGGAGTATATGTGCCAACTCTATCTTATGAAGTAGTACAAGGTATTTCTTCTGGAAACTGATACAGACTGCAATGTTGAATGGAACTAAACTCTTTCATTCTATTTGCTTGGCAGGTATTGATGCTGCTGTAAAGCCGGTTCTAAACTTTAAGGTGAATCATTTCTTTGCTTCATCTGTCAAGTTATGACTTTATACTTCTAAATAAATTTGTTATATGCAGGGTTACATAGTGGGGAATGGAGTAACAGATGACGAGTTCGATGGTAATGCTCTTGTGCCATTTGTACATGGAATGGGCCTGATCTCAGATACATTATATGAGGTATGAATTTTATTTATTTATTTCGGTTTCTATGTTTTTGCATATGCTATTATTGTCTCAGTCTTTACTTACCTACTATTTCAACATATCTTTAGTTCTCAGCCTTAAAATACGTTAATCTATCCCCTCTATCCCTCTTCTCTAAGAGAGATACTTCAAGTGTTAATATTGGACACAAATGGAACCTAAATACATATAAGATCAAATATGCCCCCTCCTCTCGTCCCTTAAGAGAGGTTGGGAGTTCAAACCCCCTCTCATATGGAAAAACCAATCTAGCCAGCACTTTGCCTCTTAATTGGGTCGGGCCGGTGCGAACGAGGATTAGTCTGAGTATGGTACGGGCTTAAAGGTGCCTCCTACAGTTAGGGCCTTCTTAGGACACCTCGTGGTTTGACCAAAAAAAATGCCCCCTCCCCTTTCCAAATTTGATCTCCTGCTCTTTGTCATCGGTTTTCTTGTATTGACTGCTTAATGGGGAAGCCCGGATAGTGCATAGATAATCCCTTGTGCTCTTCCACTGCATTTTGATCATAAGGTAGTTTTCATAAGTAAAATTTAGAAGCATAAACACAAGTAACATTAATGTGGTCCTCTCGTTTCTAGCAACAATTCTCTTATAGTTGTTGCTTTATGAGCAGGAAGTTATAGCTGAATGCCATGGAAACTACTATGATCCCGACAGTAGCACTTGTGAGAACAAGCTTGCAAAAGTTGATGCAGTAAGTCTTACGTTTGTTAGTCCTATTGGTAAAACATTGCTGTATTTGTTGCTTCGTTGGAGTTGGACCTGGATTAAATTTCTGAACATATACAGGAGATTGCGGGTTTAAATATATATGACATTCTAGAGCCATGCTACCATGCCAAAGAATCTAGTACGATCATGCATGTAAATCCAAATTTACCATTGAGCTTCCGAAAACTTGGAGAGACTGAAAGGCCTCTTGCTGTAAGAACCAGAATGTTTGGCCGTGCATGGCCTCTTAGGGCTCCTGTAAGAGATGGAATTGTCCCAACCTGGCCTCAGCTTCTTCAAAGTGGCAATGTCCCGTGCACTGTAAGTCAGTTTCAAGTCATTGCCTTAATACTTGTTCACCATAAGAATTGTACTTTAAACAGGAAAGCAACACTATATTGGTGTTCTTGGAAGGGCTTATGAAAAATTATAAAAGGATGATTTGATAATACGAGAATTTTGGAAGGGATTATGATCCCCCTTTATGTATGTGATCCATTTCAGTATTTCACTACCCTTACGTATTTGGAGATTTAATACACAGGATGATACAGTTGCCACTGCGTGGTTGAGCAGCCCCGAAGTGAGGAAAGCCATTCATGCAGAACAAGTAAGTTGCTACCATCCCAGACTCTAAATTATCTTTTAGAGCAGTGATTGACAATTCTTTGGTACTACAGGAAGCACTCACCGGTCCTTTTGAGCTATGTACAGATAAGATTACTTTTACGCATGATTCTGGAAGCATGATCAAGTATCATAAAAATCTAACCTCCCGGGGTTATCGGGCACTTATATTCAGGTAAACACCCTTTTTTTTCACTTCTTTCAATATCGTACCATGCTAGAGTGAGTACATAACATGGAGTTCCTCTCCGTTTGCATGTTCAAGGATAGACCTCCCTCGTGCTGGGGCTCTTCTATGAATGCTTTTGCACTATGATCTGATTCTTGACTGACCCCTAACACCAAATATTTCTTGCAGTGGTGATCATGATATGTGTGTACCATATACTGGGAGTGAAGCGTGGACAAGGTCAGTTGGATATAAGATCATCGATGAGTGGAGGCCTTGGATTGTGAATGAGCAAGTTGCAGGGTATGCTTCATCACAGTATTTGATATTTCTCGAACCTTTTTTTTTTTTTTTTTTTTCCGCTTTACAGTTTTCCTCGTCCTGTAATTGCTGACATGGAACTTCTTGCTGCAAATTTGATTTATTGTTTGCAGGTATATTCAAGGTTATGACTACAACCTCACCTTTCTCACCATTAAGGTACAGGGCACACACATCCTCTGTTCGACAGCAAACCAAAAGAACAAAAAAATGTTTTCCTTTTATTTCTCCATTTTGTTAACTTCGGATTGGATGATAATTCAATCTGACTTCTCAAAATTTCAGGGTGCTGGGCACACTGTCCCGGAGTACAAACCTAAGGAGGCGTTGGCATTTTATACCCGCTGGCTCGAGGGAAAGAGCATATGAAACATTAGATACTATAGTGAAGTTGATTATTTCCTTTGAAAAATAAGGAATGTTTATCCTCTATTATTTGGGTGATTTTCGAGTTTGGAAAGAAACCATATCTTTCCTGAGAGGGGTTAGGAGAGAACAAGACTGTGAAAATGTATTGTGAATAAAATTCTTACTTTAAGGAACCCATAGAGGTTTCAATGTTCTGACAGTGTGAAGTACTGTGAATTCTGCAATTATAGTTTATGTAATACTGAAAGAATTGATCTTCATACAACACCATATCTGGTAGAAATGATTTAGTGTCAAATTTGGATATTGTTGAAAAGAATCTGTCTTGATTGTTACAGCTTTCATATGGAGATGCTATTAGGTATTCCTCTCCCCGAGAGGCTCCGGCCAGACACAGAATTGGAGACATCAGGACACAGAAGCGTGTAAGAAATTTTTGCAGGACCCCATCTGTTCGATAGCCTAAGGTCTGCGTTTCTTTCCCGAATTCTTTTCTCTACTTCTGTAAGCTCCTTTATGAATCTCCTGAACCTATGCTGAATCCATTCATCGCCCATCCAATAATCTGGTGATTGCTGCTGTCCCAGGTACACTTCATCTGATGCGTGCCTTGACACAACCTCTGCCAATGCCATGTGCAGGGTAACATCAAACCTGTTTGGTAACATTCCTAGGAAATACCTGTCTGGGTCCTCAAGAAAGTCACCAAACTCCATAGTCCCTTCATAGGGAATGAATCTCCGGCATTTTGTAGCACGGTTTGGTGGATAACCGGTGTATCCATAGTGCCCGAAGTTCACTGAGGCATGAAAACCAGAGGAAAGCCATATGAGAGTTGTTAGAGCTTCAATTAGCTCAGAGAGTGTGGTCATTGAGGACCACCATGTTTCGGTGCTCTTATCGCCATGACCAATGTTTCGAATCTCTGACCACCATTCTTGGATCTCATTATCAGATTTTAAGGACTCATCATCATGATAGAAGTGTGAACAGAAGTCTTCTACCCATTTCTTGATTGCTACCCATATCTCTAGTCCATCTGCACCATATGGATAATCTTCAATAACAAGCTGCACCCCAGCCGGATGTTCCGGGTTATAAAATGCCATGCCCCTGCATTTTCCAGATTCTGGTTAGTAAAATATAACTTCTTCGGGAAAATTGCATTTTTGGTCCTCCAGTTATACCTGTAGTACAGACTTAGTCCTTTAGTTATATGCTTGACCATCTTTAACCCCTAAGTTATGCGCAAAGTGATGAGTTTAGCCCTTGAAGGACCAAATCCGTCACTTTACTAAAAGTTACATATTGCCATATTGGTAGTAGAAATAGTCCCCAAGGGACTAAAATCACCACTTCGTGCATAACTTAGGGGTTAAAGATGGTCACACACATAACTCAGGGGTCAAGTTTGTACCACGTGGGTACAACTGAAGGACCAAAAATGCAACTTTCCCTAACTTCTTTAATGGCTAGGAAGCATAACAGGTCTCCTCAATCTCTGAATATGAATATGAACCTCTTAATAAGATCAGCTGGAAGGCTTTGTTCATCAAATCTCCAGTGTTTATAGAGTGCAGAAGAGATCTCCATCGAGACTTCACCAGTGAAAAGGGTCTTCTCCAAGATCCCACCTGCATTCATAACCACTTTCCTGTACAGTGCATTGATGTGCATAGTGTCCTTGAAGTGCGGTTCCAGTAACCGGTGGACTGGGTGCATCCTACTTAACTGTCTTCTGGTGGCAATTATAAATGGCTCAACAACCGCATGAGTTTTTAACCTGTAAGAAAACTTCTGCTCGGTTACTATTATCTGGTGCAATTTAAACTTATGGACAAGTTAATGCTAATGTTACCAGTGGTTGATTAATAGATGATAGCCAGAATCATTAACAGCGACGTGAGCTTTAGCAAGATGCCATATGGCCGCCTCAGATTCTTCAGCTTTGGGATAAAAAACCCTCTGAATTTCACTCTCAGATCCAGATGAAGAATTTGGAAAACAAAGTTCTATTGCCAGTGGCTTCAGTGTGCCATCATCCTTCAAGAATAATAGAGTTCTGGATGCGTAGGCACATATGCCATGTTGGCTAACTCTCTCTAAAAATGGCATGAGATAATCATGGTGATCCAGTATGAAGATCCTCCACTGATTCATTGCCTTGAAGATTCATCAACGGCAAAGAAATTAACAAGAAACTCTAAAGAAATCACATAGTAGAATGCTTGCTTGACAATAACTAGGAGGCTAACTATGAATTTCTGCACTGTTAATGTTTGTTTACCTCTTGAAGAGTCAAGCCGTCAAGATTATGCTTTATGCGGGATAGTTTGATGGAGCTGACCACCCCTTTACTGCTTTCCGGTGGGAATTTCTGCATCGGAAATAAAGGTAACATACAGTTCAGAAACTTGTTCAGTTTAGAATTTCAGTTCGAGCAACTAACCTTATAGTACCTGCAAACATTGTATTACTGTTGCATTAGTTCCTGCAAGCATCTGTCGTGCAAATTCCTCATCCTCCTTCCATGCAAACTCATCTCCTGAAATATATAATTATCAGGGAAGGATGAAGAACAATTAGTCATGAAAACAAAAATAATTAGATAAGAATTCTGGCCATCCGCCAAAATGCAGCATCACCTCTTATGATTTGAGGCAGAGGAAATCTCACTGTGTACTCTTTGATAGCACGTTTTATCTTCTTGAAAAGCTCATCAGGTACTAGAGTTCTCAGTTTCTTTATTGCCCATTCGTCTACTTCATGGCTTTTGTACCGCCTAAATAGCCCATACATCTCAATGAACGAGTGGAAAGGCCTCGTGTCTTTGAAATCTCTGAAATCTGATTTTCCCTGAGAAACAACAAAATGCAAAGCAGCCTGGATACTGTTCTTGGTTAGCTCTGATAGCTTCTCAGGGCTAAATCTTTCATCCGGAGGGACCGTAATCTCTATGTCAAACACTCCCTTCTGGTTGGTTTTTTCCAGACCTGGAAATCACCCAAGAAAAAAAAAAAACAAAACAGACATGTATGGCTGCTATAGATTTAAACAGAAATTATCTGAGGGAAAAGATTGGAGTAACCGTTACTTTTGGATCCATTGTTACTATCCGTGTGACTAGTTTTTGCTCTGCGTGGATATGGATACACATCAGATCCTCCCAGGACAGGTCTAACATATTTGGGCCCTCTAGCAGGATCACCAAGGTCATCATACTTTCCATAATCATAAATCCGATCCCATTCTTCTATCTGTCCCGTTCCATCTCCTCTCAAGCTGAGCAGCTCTTCTTTCCTCAGCTCCAGCAGCCCATTTGGCGTTTCATTTGGAAGATAACACTACAGAATTCAAGAAAGATGTCCGGTGAGTAACTAAGCAATCATACTTTAAACTAATGATATTCCTACTTACATTGCTGGAGAAGAAAACCCGGTCCACTTGAGTTAGCTGGGAGGGATAAATCCAAGAATTGCATTCAAAATGAATCAGCGTATCATCTTGAGCCTGGAGAACCAAGGACTGAAGATAAAACTCGTGCTTGTGATGGTTTTTAACAACGAAAGCCCCTGGAAGTCCAAAATCTGGATTGACAGCAACTCCGAACCTGTACGATGAGGTTTTGATTCCTCTAATCTTGTCTGTGATGCTCTTCCCTTGCTTAACGTTTGCTTTCTTGCTCAGCTTCCCTTTTCCAGTGCCTGCAAAACGTCCAAGTATGTTTTCGCTTTTCACCACATTATGCGTATAAAAGACTCGTGATTTTAGTTATCTGATGATTGAACTCACTTGGGTCAACCTTGGTGGAGCTGTATAGTTGAATGGAAACTGATTTTCCAGGAACTGATTTTCCATCACTGTTCTGACTAATGAGTTCTCCAAAGATCATCTCATGATCCCCTTCTTGTTTTTTGCTTCTCATTCTTTTCAGAAATGGAATTGCAGTTGGAACTCCAAACAGGAAGAGAATTTTGGTAATGGGCAAGTTTCAAGCTTTGTGCATTGCTTCAGTTGTAGGCATTGCATCTATCCATTGCTTTTATTTTGGGGCTTTGTAGCTTCACTCTTGCAGAAGAGGTTTGTTTTTGGTGTGCATTTCGTAAATTCTGTTCCTAAACAATAGCCTTCAAATTGAGAGGATGTAGACAAAAATCAAACTGAATGAGAATCATGCCTCATCCACTCAGTCACCCCTTTCAGGCCATCTTTTTCTCTTCTAGAATTTATGTTCTGATGTTCACATGTTGTGTTAGTATTTTTTTTTTTTTTGAGCAACTCCAGTCAGGCGGCAAATTACTGTGTGAACCATAACAAAAAGTACATTTTTAATATATTAAAAATATATTATTTGTGTACTAAATGTACATTATACAAAATAATGTATTTTTTTTAATACAGTGTATATTTTTAATATACTAAAAATTATATTATTTATGTACTAAATATACATTATTTGATAGTATAATCCACCCAATTGTGTAATTCATAGTCCATACAATAATAATTGCAGTAAACTAATTGAGCTGATAATTTAGTAACCATAAAGTTTTAAGTTCAATCATTATGAATCTCAAACTTCCCTTGTGTTGGACTCCAGTAACCCCATTACCCCAATTATATTTGAGAATATTTTAAATTAAATGAAAATATTTTTATAAATTAAAATTAAAGTGAAAAAATAAAAGAAAATAAAATCCATGATCATATATATATAATAAGAATTTTACCATTTTCACTCGTCGAGCTCTCTAAAATGGCAATCGCTCATCTGCACAGACTCTCTTCGCAAATCTCCCGAAACCCACTCCTCTCTCACTCCTTTCGCGCCACCGTTACTCGTTCCTCCGCGACCGTCTCATCATCGCCGACTCCCTCGGCAAAGGTCGCCGATCGGATCGTGAAGCTCTTCGCCATAGACCCCGATGGCCTGAAGCGTGACGTCGTCGGACTCTCCGGCCACACTCTTCTCAAGGCTCTAACAAACCACGGCCTGATCGACCCGGCTTCCCACCGGCTGGAGGAGATCGACTCTTGCTCCGCCGAGTGCGAGGTCCACATTGCTCAGGAGTGGCTCGAGAAGCTCCCCCCGCCTACCTACGATGAGCAGTATGTGCTGAGGAGGAACTCTAGGGCTAGGGTTCTGAACAAGCACTCCAGGCTCGGATGCCAGGTTGTCCTCACTCCAGAGCTGCAAGGGATGGTCGTGGCGGTTCCTGAGCCTAAGCCTTGGGATATTCCGTAGAGGAATAGTAAGGTTACTGAACTGGATCTCCAGTGCTTTTACAGTTTTAATTGAATAATAATATTTTCAACTGCTTATAGTACTTGAAATGTTCTCAGTTCACTCTGACAATTGTAAAATTCTATGGAATACCACTATTTCTGTTCTATGAAATCAATTTCCTTCATGGCTAGTTTGCAGTACAAGTTATTACACTGCGCCATTACTAACATTTACAGATGAAAAATTCATATGCTCATGCCATGCTAGGGGTGAAAAGACAAAGAAAATGCAGGTAATGGAGGTACTGTGGTAGCATACATACTTTTAAGAGGATGAAATTATAGAATTGAGCTGTTTAGTGTGGTGTTCTGTTTCAGAAGATCGGAGTATAGAGGATGTTTCAGTGAATAAAACTGTTGCCTTCTAAGATGTGCCATGTAGGGATTGAAGTCATTGAACATTTGAAATTGAAAAGGCTTTTTCCTTTCTTATGTAGCACCAAACTGCCAATGTAGAGACCAACTTTTCACAGTTGCTGGTGAAAAACTGAGCCTTATTTTTGGTGTTTCTGGACCGTTATCTCCTACATGTTCTTTCGTGGAGTCGTGGTGATTATTTTATAGGCCATTATCTCCCTCATGTATTCTTGGCTTCTTCAATTGCGGGAGATGGTGTTCTATAGGCGCCATTATCTCCCTCGTGTAGTCTTGCCTTGTTTAAATGCTGGAGAGGGGTGTGGGCGTGTGGCTATTGCCTCTCAACCTGAGTGAGTACTTAACTCTTGGTTGTTGTGCTTTACTAACTCATGGCCATTACCGGATAGCTTTCTTCTCTGTCACATTATAGCTTACTTTATTTCATCTTAAACTGCTTCTCATGCCGACTTCATTAGTGTTTAGTTGTGGCTTGATTTTATATTGGTGTGAATGTGTGATTACAACAGTGAGATTCTACTTTCCATACCCTAGTGTGTTTTGCATGTTGGTGTGTTATTGCTGATGGTGCAATCTTTGTTGAGTGTGGAATGGGGTTTAGAAAAGATTGGCTAAGAACTGACTAGTTGATGGAAGACCTATTCTTCTCCAGGTTCCAATTAACCCTGAAGGTATGAACACAAACACCATTTCCACAACAATTGCCTTACTCAAGTTCAATCAATCCCAATTCCCAACCCTTCATGATCCCTGAATCTCCACTTGTCCCCACCTCCACCATACCTTATTATTATTATTATTATTATTATTATTATTATTATTATTATTATTATTATTATTATTATTATTATTATTATTTTATTATTATTATTATTATTTTGCATATTCCATTGGTATCCAGCATCCCATACCATTAAATAAAACTAATCGAGTCGAGTTTTGGTGAGGTCCATTTGGGACAGCTCTGAGTTGATACCTCCTATTTTCAATAAAACTAATGTGGTTAATACTGTTGTATCCACAAATACGTATTGGATCTTTTTATTGTCTGCTTGTTGGTTTTAGGTCCTGAACTAGCAATAGTTATGTGAAAAATGTCAAAAAGTCCCCCTTCCTAGCATTTAATGCCCTATTTATAGGGGGGAAGGGAGCACATGCCGGAAGCTCGACATGTGCGACATGTGTGACCCATGCATAGGGGAAGGTCAGAGGCTCTGTTGATTCCCCCACATGTGCGAAGGTTCTTGATATCCTCGTTTCTGCCATCCCAACCTGAGAAGGTCGGGTTGGACAAAGAAGGCAGGCACAGACTATTGTTACCTAAGCTTCTGCTCGGTCTTCACGTCTAAATTGGGCCGGTCTGTTTGAGGTCAGAAGTGCTTGGGAATAGCTCCTCAGGGTGGCAAGGAATAGCTCCTCAGGGTGGCTTGACCGGGTACTGAGCAAGTATACAGTACGTATGGGTAATTACACTCGGGGGTATATTCCCTACCAAAACTAATTTAATTGAGTTTTGATCAAGTCCATTTGAGCTAACTCTCCCAAACACGGTATCTTTTTGGTTACCTTAGATACCTCCCATTTTCATTTGACTTGATGATATATTCTGATTTTGAGATTTTGAGACAAACATTGGTGTCCTCAAGTTATTGCTAACCCTCGTTATCCCCTCTTAACTCCTCCTTTGACTTTTACATTTTCCTATTTATTTACTTTTCCCTGTTACAATGCATGTCTTTTTCTTGCAATTCCAACTAACCTTGTCTTCTCCCTTACGAATTTGTTTCCTCATTCACTTTCACCCTTGTGAACGTTCAGATTCCTATTGATGTCTCTCTCATAACTGGTATCTCCCCTTTCCTCATATATATTTCTCTTGCAGGCAACATAAACACACCAAAAGAACCCAAAATCTTGATTTCCTAGGCTCTCCTTTGTCTGATTGTATTGTGTTCCCAGGGAAATGAATCCAGCAGAACTTCGTAGGGTTTTCCTTATGTTTGACAGGAACGGAAACGGGAAGATCACAAGGAAGGAGCTGAGCGACTCGTTGGAGAAGCTGAACATACACATTCCGGAGAAGGAGCTGATCCAGATGATCGAGAAGATCGACGTGAACGGGGACGGGCATGTGGACATGGAGGAGTTTGGGGCGCTGTACGAGGTGCTCTTGGACGAGAGGGGCATCGGAGGAGATGAAGAGGACATGCGGGAAGCTTTCAACGTGTTTGACCAGAACGGCGATGGGTTCATCACCGTGGAGGAGCTCCGGTCGGTACTGGTGGCCCTGGGGCTGATGCAGGGAAGAACCGTGGATGACTGCAAGAATATAATCACCAAGGTGGATGTGGATGGGGATGGCATGGTCAACTATGATGAGTTCAGGAAGATGATGAAGGGTGGTGGTTTTGCTGCCTTAAGCCCTTCAGACTAACCTGCAAAGGGAAAATGAAAGCATGCATGTTGTATTCAAGTTTAGTTATTTACCTACAACCACTCTTGTCATATTGTGGGTACATTTGTACTTTGTGTACCATTTATAAACTAAGGGAGAGCAAATTTATGTATATAGTCTATATTCAACTAATATCTCTAACATTTCTCACAAATCAATCAACATATTCACACCCTTAGAGCAGAGTTCAGTTGATTGATCAAGTCAAAGTCAAGTTGATAGTCTATTTTGCTGGTAGTCAAGCCTTCTAGGACAAAGATCAAAGGTAAACGGGAGCTCTAGGGTTTAGACTGCAAATCCTTTTTTTTTTTTTTGGGGTGGGGGTCGGGGCTCAGTCAACAACGCCTCCTTATAAAAGAAGTTGGAAAAATATTAGGTGTTTGGGGTTGGCTGGAGGCCTGAAAAAGAAGTCGGCGTGGGGGCATATAAAAATGAAAATTATGAGATGCAATTAGAAACAAGAAATACTCCATATTTACTTTAATGAAACCTTCCACTCTATATTCATACCAAGATTGCAATAAAGACTAGCATTATGCCTTAACAATGTAGCCCGCCCAGAAGGCAGAATGGCTTCTTCCATCCTGAGCTCATTCTTCCTGCTCTTGATCAAGCTCCATCTATGCAACAAAAATGGCAGACTATTTCCCAATTCTTGACGATTGTCCCTAATGCAGAAGCAATCTCCACCAGGGGGGCATTAGAGGTTATACCAACTCCTCAAGTCTCAGCCACCCCCAAAAAGAGAAGTTTTACGACTTGGTAAAACTCAATGCTGAAAATCAACAGCATATTTATCTTGGTTTTGTTGTTTCAAGTTCAATCAACCACCAGATGAGTAAATAACAAAAATGAAAACTAATACCAGTGGCGTACCGGGTGTGTATTGCAGACTATTGATTTGGTGGCTTCCGTGCTTCTTTTTCAACTTGGTTTACATTGCTGACAACTACTTGAACTTTTCCAGATACAACCTCAATCTGCTCCTCAATATATTTCAACAAAGTGTTTAGCTGGTCTCTGTACAACTCACAGAGCCTATCCTGACGGTTCAACTCCATAGTCAGCTCATGTATCCTCCGGTCTTTATGGTCCTGTAAGAATAAGATTTGAAAATGAGTTAATTTGGGGCCTGGATATCTATTAGAAACTTCGCTAGTTAAGGACACATGGTAGCCAGTGTATAATGCTTTGATGACTATTGGTGTTTTCTGTGGCGAAATGCTATTTAAATCTTCAGAAGAGGAAATCAATGGCTTTAAATCCTTTAATCATCTCGGTTTTTCCATGCTAGAATAATAAAATGTTGATTGAGCTTAAGGATTACAAGTATAAATGATTAATAATCAAAGAAGCATTTGAGCAGTTCATTGCGATTCACTTGACTATAACAGTGAATGATTTAAAAGGAAAAAACACAAAACTCACCATAGCATTCCGGGAAGGGCGACCAGAAACAATCAATGGATGAGTATGCTCCTTCACGAATCTGGTAACAACCCATTTACCAGACTTATCAACCTTTACCAGCATCATTGCCTTGCATCCTTCTCGTGTGCTCGTTCTTGGCTTCCTAGCTGGCCCGAATTGGTCTTTCATTTTCACATAATAACCCTGCTTATTACACGAGAGCCGCCTAGAAAGAATCCTCTTGTCAACTTCTGACCTCCGACACTGATCAATGCGCATCACAAAGCCGGCACGCCTAGCATAGTTGTCATAAAATTCCTTGGCAGCATCTTCAGACTCAAACTCCATTCCCACCACTGGTTCTTGAACTCTACTTTCTTCACCCGAATCTAACCGCCTTTCAGCAGAAGCAGAACTGTCACCAATAGCAGCTTCAACCTCTATGTCCACTGCCAGAAATATGATATCTAAGAACAAAACCTTCAAGAAACAGCACTGTTCTGTATTTAAAACCATAACACTTATGGATTTCACATTCCTTTATCATTAAGCTTTCGAATGCACACAACAAATTGAAAGACGTGTTCTGTCTCAACGAAAAATCTAAATGAATAAAGAACCAAATTGAAGAATGTGTTTGTCTCAACTACACCACAAACATTGTGTAACAAAGCCATAGATGTGAGCATATTCCGGCAACAAGGATACCGATCACATGAAAAACATGGAATAATGTCATATAATTTCATAATTCCTCTTTTTTTCTTTCACCAAACACAATAATTCTTCCATTTTCTTTAAGCACTCCGCATAAGCTAACGACACCGCCACATACCAAAATCCATGTACTAAGAATTACAACAATGGTCGAATCAACAAATTCCCAACAATGAGAAAACATTATGGAGATTTTAAAGCTCGGAATATGCAAATATATGTCAGAACGGGATGAATTTAGATGAGAGTTTGAAATTTTGCAGTAGAACTTACTGGTTTGGACAGAGGAGGTGCCGTCGTCTCGATTGATTGCCAGATTTTTGAAAATTTTAGAGGTTTCTGCAGAATCTTCAATTCGATTTCTCAGAGATAGTATTGTCGCGTCGATTTTCAACGCCGGAGGTTTTGAGCTTTTCACTTTATCTTGCTGAGGAGAATTGAACGCCGGCGTTCATCGTCCGGGCACGAGTGTTACTTTCTTTCCGGTGACCACTGGAAAACCTAACTAAACTGTCACCACCAACGCCCACTGCTCATTGCTATCAAATTGAGAACTGAGAAGCTGATGAATAGAAATTAGTACGCATCTGATTCATATAATTGTAACGCTATTTGTATTAAATTGACAAATTTATGAATATGAAGATAATGATCAATGAAATTTTGGTTATCGAACTTGATGGGTGTGAACCCGGTGGGCTCGGGGCCCAAGAAGAAAAGAGATCAAGTCTAAGAAGGAGAAGCAAAGCCCGAGAGGAAAATGGAGTAAGCCCAAAAGAGATACGGGCCAGGCCGAGGAGTCGGCTCGACCCGGGAGTCGGCGCGAGTGTGGGATCAGCACGGGTAGGGGGTCGGTCTAACTAGCCGTTATTCCTACATTATCACCCATGAAACCTATTTACTACCCTATTATTACCTAATCATTACCCTACTTACTAACTAGCCGTTAGACACTTTATCAACCAACTTAATACCCATAACCCCCTAATTATCACCCATCAATACCCTACTAATGGTCCAACAGACACTTTTGGAGATGGACTAGCTATAAAAAGGAGAAGAAGAGCACAAGGAGAGAGGTCACTCATTCATCTACATGTGGGAGGACTCTCCCAAGTACTATTCTCCCACTCACTACTCTTTCTCCTTTAAGAAGACATCATTCATTCATACATACAAGCACCCTTCCTACACCACTCTCCCAAGAGAAGGCAATTCACATACACAACAAGAAGATTATCAAGAAGACTCCATTCTACCACAAAAAAGCATACTCCATCTCTATATACAAAGTATAGCTCCTTCCCTACACAATATTTCCATACTATCTGTAGAAAATAGCTCTACAATATGTACAAAAATACCTACAAAATGCATAGTGGAGTTAGGCTTGGCACCGCCCAAAAAGGCCCGTGGTTTTCCTTTCGGTTTCCACGTACAAAAAGCATTGAGTTATATTCGTTCTATTTATTTTTCTATAAGCCGCATGTGAAAGGTGAATCCACCGACCAAGGTTGTGTTGGACCTCCCTGGGTCCGAAAACCCAAAAACCATTAGAACTAATTCAATAAGCTCAATTCACATTTGACTAAAGAGATCACTCAGCAACTCGTGGCAGTAGTCTAGACTCGAGAGTTCCAGTTGTTATACATGGACCAAATCTATCTTGGAAGGTGAATCTTTGTCCTAAAGAGTTTTTTTCACTTTTGGTCCTATGACTTTAGTGACTCCGTCAATTTAGGTTCACAACTTTCGTTCCTGACATAAGTAGTGCTTGACTTTGATTTTTTTCCACTTTTAGTCCTTCCGGTCATCTGAGTGACTACTTTTAATCCGAATAAATAAATTGTCATTTATATTTAGATTTAAGAGGGGTAAATAAGTCCTTTACCATCTCTTAAAAAATAAACAAAAGAAGCTTTTGAGACTTTAAGTAATGTTTCTAGTATCATTCCAGTATTTTTGTATATATTGGAACGATATGGTGAGAGCTAAGGCGCATTGAAAATGGCGATCATTAAAGTTGAAACAGTATCAAGAGAGCTCGTCAAACCCTCTTCTTCTTCTTCTTCTTCTTCAAGACTCCATAAACTGTGTCTCCTTGATCAGATAGCCCCGCATGGCTATAATCCCAAAAATACATGAACTTGAGCCTCTTTTTCTTTTGTTTATTTTTTAAGAGATGGTAAAGGACTTATTTACCTCTCTTAAATCTAAATATAAATAACAATTTATTTATTCGGATTAAAAGTAGTCACTCAGATGACCTGAAGGACTAAAAGTGGAAAAAAAATCAAAGTCAAGCACTACTTATGTCAGGAACGAAAGTTGTGAACCTAAATTGACGGAGGCACTAAAGTCATAGGACCAAAAGTGGAAAAAACTCTTGTCCTAAATTATGTACTTTTAGTATTGACTCGAATTTACAGAATAATTTGTTCAAGAGTTCTAATTTATAATAGATGGATAAGATTTACTTAATATATATTTAGTATCTGTTCATATATACTTTCTCGACCTATTGAAGTACAAAAAGTCAATATCGTCCCTCTTATGGCTGAAACCCATAACCTCCCATTTAAAAGAGTCACTCTATGCCCTTAAACCACAAGGTCATTAACTTACCTAAGATATATTGTTGAATAGTGGATACATGATTTTTTTTTTTTTTTTTTTTTTTTGGAATTATGAGAGAAATCAACAATTGAGAATCTATATTAGGTAAACTTCACTCTTATGTAATAACATACAAACCATACATGAGAGGAGATCCTAACTCCAATGATTTTGTTGAGGTAGGGTTTGAATCTCCATCCTGCCGCACTCTTGTTGTAACTTAAGTAGTTAAGTAGGGTGTCAATAAGAGTTGGCCCACCCCACTTGAGTTCAGTTGTTATACCATGGACCAAGGTCCATTTTGTAAGGTGGACCCTGGTTTTAAATTGTGTATTTTTAATACTAGAATTATGAACTTCTAGAATATAAACTGTGTTTTTAAGTTTTAAAAATTTATGAATACAATACAAGATCATCTGTAAATTTTTAAAAAGTTAACTGTGAACATTTAATATGTAAATTATATATCTTTGTTTAGGTAATAATTTGCCACCCTGGTTATATATTATATTGTTAGCCCCCGTGGACCAAGTTTACCAGGTTTATACCAAAATTTTAGACTCTAACATATCACACCGTGAGATTGTTTAAGATTGATAAGATCTCCAGGTTTGAGGTTAGATGACGAACCGCTATGCTAGAGTGCTAGACTTGAGTTTAAATGATGAAATGCTATGCTAGCAAGGGATTAGATCTGTAATTTTACATATACGGAAGAAGAAGAAAAGGTGGGCACTTTATGTCTTCTTCACATTTGTCCTAAGTTAAGCAACTCTCAATTACTATCTTTAATTTCAATTCGTTGACCTCTTACTGTTCTGACATGTAGTCTTCTTCTGCTATTTAGCAACTTATTATCATCTCTCTCAATAAGCACTGTTATTCTCCAAGATTGGGTTTTTATCATATCACCGGTTTCCATGGCTTCTTCTTCTTCTTCTTCTTCATTTCCAACCCCTATAAAGGTAAAGAAGAGGCGGGCATTTATTTGCAGTTATTGCTGGTCTTCTGTATTTCTGTTTTCTGCAGGTTTCTTCATTGCCACTGCAGTTTTGGTTCTCACAGATTACAACCAGGTGTGCTTCACTAGAAAGTAAAAACCCACTCGCATCGATCATATCTTTAGTTTCCTGTTAAGCTTATTGATTTTGTGGGTGCAGAGGCTTTTAGGGTGGCAGCTGATTGAAGCTTTCGGGACATCAGAACCCACTTGTCAGGTTTGTTCAAACGTACAGCTTATCTTGATCTAATCTCATGCTGTGTTTAATTTGGTAAAGCTTATGGATATGGGTTTTGATTATGGCTTATGATCATGGATTAGTCATAAATTATATATGCGCATGCAATATGGGGAATAAGGGTCAAATCAGTTACTCAAGCTGATTCTGTTTGTGTTAAATGTTTTGACCGGTTATAATATTAGCTGGTTGTAGAAATGTGTTGGGAAATTAAAAACGTTGCTCCAAGCAGAGTTTTGGAAATCAACTATTCCAATAAGATTTTTTACCAAACACTAATTTTAGTTGGATCAAACATCTAAATTTGGTCAAACCAGTTGAAAAATAGTTGATCAACTATTTCCCAAACACCTTAGTGATTGAGGATATGACCAGGCAAATTTGTTTTGTTTTGTTTATTTGAAACCGGCATATTTGTTTAATTATTTAGTCATGTATGTATATACTTCTTTTATTTAGGATGAATGCAAGGCTGTTGGAACTGAGACATTGCCTAGGGGTATTGTTTCTAAAACCTCTGATCTGGAGATGCGGCCGCTTTGGGGTTCTGCTAAACAGGTAGGCGCCACTCCTTCATCGCCACTCAATCTTGCTAATACTAAATTACTAACTCATTCTAGCAGCACAATTTGTTAAAAATTGTTAATATTTAAGGGAGAAGTTTTTCACACCACAGACGTATAGGATGAGCTTCACCACCTCCACACCAACCTCCTTCAGAATATTGTGCACCCAAATTATGTCACATGCCACATGAGTCATCGCCCTATACTCGAATTCTGCACTGGATCGAGCCACAACAGTTTGTTTCTTGCTTCTCCAAGAAACCAAATTACCTCATATGAACACACAATACCCCGTCGTAGACCTCCTGTCACTCAACGAGCCTGTCCAGTCAGCATCAGAAAAAGCCTCAACACTCTTATGTCCATGATCAGCATATAAAATACCTTTCTCGAGCGCATTCTTGAGATACTTTACAATTCGAATTGCCGCATCCTAGTGGATTAGCGTAGGTGCTTGCATGAACTGACTCACCACACTTACTGGAAAAGCAATATCCGGACATGTAATGATAAGATAGTTCAATTTCCACACTAACCTCCTATATCTCTCGGGAGAATCAAGGGCCTCCCCCTCACCAGCTACAAGTCTAACACCTTGCTCCATAGGTATTTCGCATGGTTTTTATCCCAACAACCCAGTATCATCAAGCAAATCTAGCACATATATACTTCCTCTGAGAAAGAAACATTCCTTTCCGAGAATGAACAACTTCATTCCCTAGAAAATACTTCAACACTCCCAAATCTTTCATGTTCCTTGAGAAAAGATTTGAGTGCGCCAATCCCTCATGCATCACAACATGTGATCACTATATCATTAACATAAACAACCAAGTGAATACTTCCAATGTTAGTATGCTTGAAAAAGACAATATGATGATCACACACACTTCTGTACGTACCAAACTCAATAATCATATTACTAAACCTCCCAAACCAAGCTCGTGGAGATTGTTTTAAGTCATATAGAGACTTCTTCAGTCGACGCACCTTCTCAGACTCCCCCTGAGAAACAAACTCAGGGGGTTGCTCCATGTAAACATCCTCAACCAAATCACCATTCAAAAATGTATTTTTGACGTCTAACTGATACAGAGGCCAGTGATTAGAAGCAGCTAAGGAAATAAAGATACGATCTGAAGCTAACTTAACTACAGGGGAGAAAGTTTCCGTATAATCGACACCATACATTTGTGTATATCCATTGCTACTAGACGAGCTTTAAGTCTAGCCACCGACTAATCAGGGTTCATTTTCACAACATAAACCCACTTGGAGCCAATTGCAGTCTTACCAGCCGGGAGGGGTACCAAATCCCAAGTCTAACTGTCCTCAATAGCAGTCATCTCCTCCTTCATTACATGACTCCACCCATCATGAGCTATAGTCTGATCAAAGTGTTTGGAACTGACACATAATCTAAACAAGATACAAAGGTGTGAGATGACACTACAAATGATTATAAGACACAAAAGAGGAAATAGGGTATCGACAACGACGTATACCTTTACGAAGGGCAATGAGAAGATCCAGGTCATTTGAAGAAGACTCTGGTAAGAAAAAAGTACTCACTTCTGGTTTTGATGGCGCCACTTCATCTCTCGGCCGCCGAACATAAACCTGTATAACGGGAGGCCTAGATACAGACCCAACCAGTATGGTAATAGTATATTAAGGAAGTCATCATCTGGAGTAAACCCACACCTAGATGAACCAATAACACCCCCAGAGAACACCATGTTTTCAAATAAAGTAACATTAGCTGACACTAAATACCATCCCAAGTCAGGTGAATAACACTGATAACCCTTCTAAGTATGTGAGTACCCTAGGAATATACACTTAAGTGATTTTGGATCAAGTTTCCCGCGTTGAAGACGAACATCCTGGACAAAATAAGTACACTCAAATATTTTCGGAGGGAGATGGAAAAGGTGTTCTGATGGATACACGAAAGAATAAGGAATTTGACCCTGAAAGAACAAACGGAGGCATCCGATTGATAAGAAAACATGCAGTGTGAACAACATCAAACCAAAAAAAAAAACATAGACACTTTCATTTGAAACAAAATAGCCCGAGCTACCTCTAACAAATGACGACTTTTTCTTTCTGCCACCCCATTCTACTAAGGGGTGTACCCACACGAGGACTGGTGAACTATCCCGTTTTGGCTCATATAAGTGGAAAAGGGTTTAGAGAAATACTCTTGTACATTGTCACTCTGTACACACTTAATTGTTTTATTAAACTGGGTATTGATCTCGGCACAAAAATTACAAAAGATAGTAAACAACTCATCTCTAGATTTCATAAGATATAACCACGTACACATAGAGAAATCGTCCACAAAAGTTACGAAATATCTAAACATGTTCTTCCCTATGACCCGACATCAGAATGAACAAGTTCAAATAAAAACCCTAATCTATTATTGACACGAGGAGGTAGGAAACTCGACGATGCTTAGCAAACTCACAAGACTCACACTGCAAAGCAGACAACGATTCTAAACCAGGAAAGAACTTCTTCAAGATTCACAACGGTGGATGACCATACGAACATTGTAATAAGAAAGGAGAGGTATCACGCAACATGGCCTTGCATGGAGATATATACTACTCTAACACGTACAAGCTTCCGACTTCCTTTCCCTTACCAATAATCTTCTTCATCAAAAGATCCTGAAATAGACAATAACCCGGGAAAAAAGAGACAAAACAATTCAAAGTTCGTGTGATTTGACTAATAGAGAACAAACTAAATGGAAACTTTGGAAGGTGCAATATAACGATAGGGGTAATGATGAGGTTGCAACAGCACTACCTCTACCTAAAACCAGAACAAGTGATTGACCCATCCGCTAGGGTAACCGTAGCTCCAGGGTTAGAGGGAGAATATGTAGAGAAAACATTAGAATTACCTGTCATAGGGTCACTAGCCCCTGAGTCAATGACCCACTATGTAGACGAAGAAGACACACGCGCATCAGGATTACTTGTTTGGACAAAGGTTGCGGAAGAAGAAGGTTGATTGGATAGAAACTTAGATGGAAACTGCAAGCTGGGAAGAGGACACCTTTAGTTGATTGAACATTGCTAACTCTTCATCTGTCATAACCTCCATATGTCCTTCAGACCTAGAAGTTGTGTTAGCAAATCTTTACTGCCTCAGTGGTTTAGGACATTGATTTTGGAAATGACCTGGTTCTCCGTAGTTGAAACATACCCTCGATCCTACACGACCTCTTCCAAAACCACCACGTCCTCGATAGCAACCGCCTCCACCTTTTCGACTATTATACCCTTCGTTGGTATAATTCTCTTGCAACACAAATGCACTTCCTTCACCATTATTTCCCTGTGATACAGAAACACTCTTTTCGGGAAGTTCATTATTGTCAGTACTTAATGTCACATTCTGTATCTGAGAGAACACTTGGTCCAATGACCCCAACTCCTTGTGTTTCAGCAATTGTGACCTAAGAACCTCATATTCTTTGTCAAGTACAGAAATCCAGCTAAAGGCAATTAATTGATCACGTTGTGCTTTCATTTTCTTGATAGAACCTACTCACGGAGGTGAGTCGACTGATGCGACCGCCACCGCCAATTCCTACTCTGGTGTCGCCCTGTTGTTCCGAACACGACCCATTATCTTACTCTCGCCGACTCTGATAGCATGTTAATATTTAAGGGAGAAGCTTACTTTAACTCACTATATTTCTAATGTTTTACTTGAAGTTTGAGACTGTACAATATATAGTTACAAGGAACGCTTGATAGCCACAAACTGAGCCACTAGAGCCTTTAACAATCCTCAATAGTCTAACCCACCCAAAATTATTCTAACAAAAATAATGTTGGATGAACTATGAAACATGCATACTTATGATTACACAAACAGTGCTATCTGGTTTGTCTTATCAGCATTGTACGTTCTCTCCCCTTATGTCTTTAATTTGTTCCCAGAAGCCGAAGTCTCCAATGAGCTTGTTAGCAATGGCAGTTGGAATAAAGCAGAAGAAGAACGTAGAAGAAATAGTAAAGAAGGTTTATATGGAAAGAAAAACTTCATTATATTGATTGTCGTAATTTATATTCTATATAATAAAGACTATTGTATGTATAATCCATGATATTTCTTATATGATTTGCAGTTTCCATTATCTGATTTCATGATTATGCTTTTCCATTATGACGGGCTGGTGGATGAATGGAAAGATTTGGAGTGGAGTAGCAGCGCCATACATGTTTCTGCTCCCTATCAAACAAAGTGGTACAGATTAATACAAGACAAATTAAATATAATGTTCTTCCCACTATGCTGATTAGTATTATGTTCGTTCATTAACTCATGATTAGGTGGTTTGCCAAGCGGTTCTTGCATCCCGATATCGTTGCAGATTATGCTTACATTTTTATTTGGGATGAAGATCTCGGGGTTCAACATTTTAATGTTGCAAGGTAGTATATGTAGCATTAATATAATGATACCATACTCTTGTGATGAAGCTTGAAACACTACTACAAGTTCTATTACGTGATTTCCATTTTTTATTGTTTTTGGGTACTTGGATGCAGATACTTATCAATAGTGAAAGAAGAAGGGCTTCAGATATCACAGCCCGCAATAGATGCTGAGAAATCAGAGATTCATCACAAGCTTACTGCTCGAGTAAATGGATCAAAAGTTCACAGGTATCTTATATCTACTATATGAATGTATAATCAAATCAGCATAAACGCCCTTCTACTATGGCTACAACCTCAATATATAAATCAAATCTCGTAACATTATCTGCATATATAATTTAACATAAGATGCCTTTTGTTTGTGTCTGTTGTCTTGTACCAGGAGGGAAATAAACATTAGAGGCCCGGGGACGAGGTGTTTCCCCGACAGCCAGGGTCCTCCTTGCACAGGGTAAACATATATATGCTCAGATCATATTACTATTCAAGGGTTGTGGGTGTACATGGGGTAAATCTTCCTATATTGTGACCCTTAGTTGACCATCTCAAACCAAAAAGACCAATAAGTGCTTCCGTTAGCAGGCGAACTTATAACCTTGTGGTTACCAATTAAGTCAACAACTTGACCAACTTAATTGGTTATATTCTCAAATTTAGTTTGAGGAAAAATGGTCAAATACACCCTCAAACTTTAGTTGAAAAGTCAATATAACACCCCCAATTTTCAGCATAATTTAAAACCCTTTAAGCTTATGAAATAAAGGCAAATTATCATTAATACCCAAACAGAGCGGAAGCTAAATATCAGTGCTGGGGTGCTATGCCACATCTAGGCTAGAGAACCTAGATGCACAGGACAAAACTAACTAAACCAAGTATGATCCATAAACATCATCCAAATACAAGCACGGCACACATGCCGACTAACTAAGCTAATACTACTAAGTTAGCAACTGCAGCTCCTTCTAGCGCGCTCTTGATCACTAATCAGTACCTGAAAACATGCGGTATTACAACCGTTAGCGAATAATGCTAAGCAACCCACTCCCATGCGTCGAGTACAATACATATAGATATAAGAAATCATTTTGAGACTTGAGAATACATAATATAGTCCTAACGACTCTAGCTTTAAAACCAGGAATCAGACTCAAGGCATATCAATAGACTCGACACAGCAAGACGCATAAAGACACAACATGCAACTAGGACTGCAAAGCAAGACAACAACAATAACAAATAACAAGTCACAACAAGGCCACACAACAAGACACGCCCATGTTCCAACCTTATACCAAGTTCCAACCTTTACGCCTTTCCATCCTTATAACAGTTCCAACCTGTACCTCCAGGCCACCCTACACACCACGTCCTTATCCATCCGGAGCACCGCATGCTCCCCTCCAACAAGACCTCCAACAATCCACCGATCTCTTAGCACTCATAGTGCCATTACATAACATGACCTGTGCCTATAGCACAATGACCGAGCACTCGCAGTGCCAAAACATAACCTGATATGTGCCTATAGCACAGTAATCAGGCGACCTGTGCCTATAGCACAATGATCAATGCACTCGCAGTGCGTCATACCACCAACATATCTTTTCCACCAATTTCACATCTTTTCATCACCATGGGCAAAAGCACGAAAATCAAGACTCAATAACAATTACATCACGGGGTTACCGGGAAAAAGGCACAACATACGAGTAGACTCATAACGACACGAGATATCAACCTAAACATGCATCCTACGGGGAATAACATAAACCACACTTTTGACCCACGCAATACAAGTTTAGACCATATGCATAGACACGACTCACGAATCACGTTACGGTACCTAAAACATCATGCTAGACTCACACACGTCAAACGAGACACAACGGGGCATGAGGTTCGACCCATGGAGACCGAACGACCCCGCACCGGCCCTTACCCGCGGGGGGTACGGCGGGAGGACAACCTCCGGCAGCGGCGGCGTATTATTCCACTCACCTATCCTCCCGCTGGAACATCCTTCCCTCCCGACGGGTGGTTAGGTGGGGGTTCGTCCCCCCACCGACTACCCGCTGGAACATGTTTCTTGGCCAATCTTCCCAACCCGAGAATTCATCCAATTCACCCAAAATCAAGTCCCAAGCACGCCCAAACACATACCAACAACAATAGGGACTTTGATCATCAAGAATACGCCAAGAAACAACACAATCAAATCCTAACCACAAGCACTAAGCATGCCAAGACTCAAGAATTAACACCCAATGGTTCAAGAACATCAAGAACCTCAAGAACTTAATCATACCAAGTTCTAACGACTAGTCCTAAACCTTGAATAACACCCGAGCATGCGAAAACTCACCCAAGAACGCCAAAAACGTTACGAATTACAAGATTTACCACATAAATCATCCTAAGGACAAGCTCTAAACACAATTAAATACAAGAACATGCCAACAATCACACAGGGCCATCAAGAACATCAAGAATAACAAGAATCCATATCACAACTCCTAAAGACAAGCTCTAACAAGGCACAAATACAAAATCACACATTCAATCGTTCTACGGAGCCAATCAATAAACAATAGCAAGAAAAATAAGTTTTGTAGGACATGGGTTACCTGGTAGCTTTAATTAAACTTCTTACAGCTTCTAGGGTCTTTTCCTCAAGGTGCTCCTCCTATTAGTCTCTCATAAGCTTGGTGGCGGGGATTCCTTGTCTGATCTCTGGGAGGGGATTTTCGAGTGTATCCGAGGGAATGAGGTTCTAAAGCTTTCTAATTCCTTTTATATAGATCTAGGATTCCTAATTAGAATCTGATTAATACTGGGTCCAACTTCTTTGCTCCTAACGGGCTTTAAGGCTTTAATATGGGCAAGGACCACACTAATTAATTAAGGGCCTTAGCTTACTTAAATCCCTTTTTAATTATTCTTTAACGGAATTAATTAAATAATTATCCTGGATTTAAAGGGCGTAACACGGGGTGTTACAGTCAATTAGCCATCTAAACTTTTTAAATGTGCAATTACACCATCAACAAATTTTATTAGAAATTTAGTTATATGTTATTGAAAAAAATGCAAAAGATATAACACGAACTAGCTCAGAATTGTGCACTTGAAGGCAAAAAAATATGCACTTGAACGCATAAAAATGTGCACTTGAAAGCAAAAAATTCTGCACACGAATGCAAATAGATGTGCAATTGATGCAATTTATGGTACCAAAAAGAAAATTTATTCAACTTAACTGTTATTAAAGCAATTAACGATACAAATCGTTTGTAAATCTCACAACTTTCACTAGAAATTTAGTTATATATTATTGAAAAGAAGGTAAAAGATGTAATAAATATTGACCAATAATTATGCACTTGAAGACACAAAATTGTGCACTCAAAGGAGAAATTATGTATTGAAACAAAACAGATGCATTCGAAAAAGAGAAATATACACATGAAGAAAGAAACATGTGCACTCGAAGAAGAAAAAATGTGTACTCAGATGCAAAGACAATCAGACTTACTTAAAATTACAATAATGCCACCACGCGTTTTTTAATTCATCTTCAATCTGGGCTGTTGATTTGGACTATATCTATGGTTGCCATTTATCCATATTTTTTACCTAAACACTTCCTTCGTATATGATCCAAAATATATATATATATATATATATATATATATATATATATATATATATATATATATATATGTGTGTGTGTGTGTGTGTGTGTGTGTGTGTGTGTGTGTGTGTGTGTGTGTGTGTGTGTGTGTGTGTGTGTGTGTGTGTGTCATTGTTTTGGTGAGTCCACCTCTACCCATGAGTCCGTGTGGACAGATCTTAGCCATTGAATACTTGAGATCAATGACTTAGATTTCGCCAACTGTGCATTTCACTTGCACAGTTCGCGATGCACAGTGGGCGAAATTTATGCCATTGATCTCAAGCACTCAATGACCCAGATCTGTTCACACGGACTCATATGAAGGGGTGGACTCATTTGATCATGAGTGTGTATATATATATATATATATATATATATATATATATATATATATATATATATATAGGTTCAGGTTCAGGTGCATTTAAGTGTTTTCCGTGCAGTTGTGCGGGTGATTAATGTGCGCGAGTTTTGTACTTAATGTGCGTGAGTCTTGTGCTTAATGTGCGTGAGTGTGTAATGTTTAATGTGCGTGAGTTTTGTACTCAATGTGCATGAGTCTTGTGCGTAATGTGCGTGAGTTTTGTGCTTAATGTGCGTGAGTGTGTACTTAATGTGAGTTGTTGTGTGACTTGTTGATGAAACTTTAAAGTGCATGAGTTTTATACTTAATGTGCGTGAGTTTTGTGCTTAATGTGCGTGAATCGTGTGCTTAAGGTGCGTGAGTTTTGTACTTAATGTGGCGTGAGTTTTGTACTTAATGTACGTGAGTGTGTACTTAATGTGAGTTGTTTTTAAAAGTTAAGGTGCGTGTGTTTTTGTGCTTAACATGCGTGAGACTTGTACGTAACATGTGTGAGGCTTGTGTGCTTAACATGCGTGAGGTTGTGTTCTGAAGGTATTTTGTTTGTGTGCTTAATGTGCGTGTGTTGTGTACTTTATGTGCGTCAGATTAATGCTTAACGTGCGTCCACCCACACAATCACACTGGAAGCGTCAAATGCACATGATCCCTTCCCTATATATATATATATATATATATATATATATATATATATATATATATATATATATATATATATATATATATATGTATGAAGAAAACTAGAGATATGAGTGCGTGGTTAACATATATGATATCATATATGTGACATGCAGATGGGTGGAAATAATGGCTCCGGTTTTCTCCAGTGCATCGTGGAGATGTGTGTGGCACATCATTCAGAACGACCTGGTTCATGGATGGGGCGTCGACTTCCAAGTTGGTTATTGCGCACAGGTTAGTTTGCCATCACGCAACAACTAAAGCAAGCCAATTTCTTACATTATAATGTCGTACGTGTTTAGTACATTCTTGGCTAGTATATTGATCTGTGACATATTATCTGACAGGGTAACCGAACCGCCAATGTTGGGGTGGTTGATACTGAATATTTGGTTCACTACGCCCTCCCTACACTCGGGGGGTCATCAAACCAGGTATCCCTACATACCATCTACTTTAATTTCATCACTCATTAGCCTAATTAATTAAGGTTCTTGTCTGATCTGTCATCCTAGTTTGTAAACTTGTCTTATTGTTTCTTAACTGATATATATATATATATATATATATATATATATATATATATATATGCAGACAAGTAATGAAGCAAAAGGCCAGCAGGGTTCTTCCAAGGAATCCTCATCTCATCCATCTCATGCTAGAAATGCAGTAAGTTCCTGTTTTATTAGATGCAAACTTTGGTTGCTTATCTTCATTCAACATATAATATTTAAACATAAATGTGCAATCCAACTATCAGCTTACGCTTTTACTTGAGACAGAACACATCCTTCAATTTGATATCAGAGTTTGATCGAATCTTCGCGTCACCTCATACAAAGAGTGAATTGCACACGTGAGGAGTCATGTTGAGCATATAATAGACAATGTTAAAAATGAGGTTTTGGTTGCAGGTGAGGAAGCAATCTTTTGTTGAGCTAGACATCTTTAATAACAGATGGAGAAAAGCTGTTACAGAAGACAAATGTTGGGTTGATCCATTTTGAAGCCAAAGAGGACTCTCACATATATACAGCATATCACTTATAAGGAATTGAAAATTCTTTCTATCATTTTTAATAGAAAGGAAAACTGTATCAATTATTGATTGTCATGTAAAATACTAATTAATATGATATTATCAAAAGTCTAGATTAAAATTTCTTGAATTTGAATTTCATACATTACTTGTTATCCTTGCGTGTTCAAAAAAAGTGCATGGGTGAGTGAGGTGGAGTAGGATTCTTGTATATTTTATTTTTGTTGACATTTTTTCAAACAAATTCGTTGTACAAGATCTTCTTAGTATTGTTTACTTTTATGGTATATATACTTTGCAAACTATTATATATAAGAGCAGGCCATCGATCGAGTAGAATCTTCCATTGCATACTCTCAAAATTAAAGACAAATGACATATATATATTTAGACAATTAGACTTTAGACATACCATTCATATAGAATTTTAATGATTAATAATATTTCTATTCTTAAAAAATATAACTATAAGTCTATAACGCTCTCTTTTTTTATTTTTCTTTTTGTCTCTAAATTTGGAGACAAAGAAAGAAGTATTTTAGAGGAGGCATGTTCTTCATCAGTTGTAATGTCTCTATTTTTAGTGGAAACGAAGATTGCCAAATAAAGATCGAACAAAAAAAAAAAAACAAAAATCCTTCCACCATGGCCAAAATTGAAACTTTGAGCCATAGTTCACACTAGCTAACACTACATTATCCTAGTTTAGTTCACGGGAAATATTTAAAAGAAAATAAAATTGAAATTTCATGGAAAAAAAATTAAAAAAATTGATTTTCTTGGTTGGTTTGTAGAAAATGAGTTACTAGGAATATTATTCCGTTATTTAATTGGTGTTTGAATGGTAATTGTAAATTTAATTTGTGAGTGTTGAATGCAGAAAATACCTATCTGGTTCCTACTTGTTGTAATGTTGTTTGTTTGTGCCCGTTGGCCATTAGCTCTAACCGATGAACTTGAACTTTGCAGGAAGAAAGAGATAGACAAAAGTGAAAAGGGGAATGATTTCATTCATCAATCTCACTTACATTGTACATGGGAATATATATAAGATAATCGTAACGGTAAACATAATGAGGACATAAATATGTCCGTTACATAATAATGTCCACTAAGTATATATATTTATAACACTCTCCCTTGGACATTATTTGGCAACGACCTTGCCTCGCTAAAAAAAATTGAATATGCTCATAAATTAAAATTGCTATTTTGTGCAATTTTATTTGGATCATATGATTTTATGAATTTCTATGCATATTCGGTTATATTAGCATAATATTTTTTATTATGCATTATGCTTTACAAGTGGACCTTCGGATTTAGCCAGACTTAGTATGCGTATATTTGAAAGTTATACATCCTGGCTATTATTACCACACTTGTTCTGGACGGGAGTGTTTTTTTCATCCGGACTCTTGATATTCAAATTTATCTCGATCCTACGTCACTTTGAGGACATGATCGTTAAGAAGTCCATGAACGACGCAGCCCAGAAAGCCAACGCTTTATTTTTCTTACGCCACCTGAATACCTTCCTGCAAAGAACCATTATGTCTTATAGAAATCCCTGAAGGATAAACTTGACTAGCACATATTCATTGGTCCTTTCTAAACTCGCAATTAGACTGCCTTACCTTGATCTTTCAAAACTTTAAATCAAATTCATGATTCTAAATCAACTATACGCAAAATTGTGGCCCAACTAAAGTTGCGTAAGTAGAATTTTTTTTCTGGCACGAATTTGATTGGCGAGCCCTTGTCTTCTTTTCCACACCACCCTCCTCCCATGAGTGTAGAAGCACAACCACATGTTGACGCAAATCTATAGTGCATGCCCAGTTGGTTCTGCACCGGTGCCCGAAGCACACGATTTCACCTAATTGTGCAACACTAAGAGGGGCTGAGGAAGAAGACGGGAAAGAGGTAAGGCCAAGGTGGCAAGAACAATAACTCCCGAAACCAGAATAAAAAGCAAAAATGATCCAACTCGTCAAAGTCATAACTTTGGCCCAACAGCAAGTTATGTTTCACGTATGGGTATAAAAGGCACTACTCACGTGTGTTTCACACCCAAAGCATTTTGCTGAAATCTGAATGAACAGCACCATGTTGAATCCAACAAAGTTTTCTTGCCTGAAGCAAAGCAAAACTTCCACCCAGTAGACACATGTGTGGCTGTTGTCAATTACGAACAAAATAATTGCCAAATTTCTGAGCAAACGTCATTTAATTAAATTCTCCATTTATCCTCTTAAGCATATAATGATGGATAATGTTTGGTGAATTCAACTCGTCAACTTTTGACAATTGTTATATGGAATTAGGCATTATGATAAAGCATCGCATGCCTTATGACCACACCTAAAAGGGTTTAGCTGAATCTCTAAATTTAAATTACTTGCTAAACCATTATTTTTCAAAATTCCAATGTGCCGGATACTTGGTGGGGAAATGCAATATTTATGCTAAAAATTTCGGCACACTGCATATCCTTATTCCCCCTTACATCTAATATGTGGTTTTCAAACAAACATTTCCCAAATCTGCGTTTCTATTCATATGAATGCAGTCCAATCTATTACATAACCACCATAGCGTATCCATCTAAACCTCCATGTATTGTCTCCAATATTTAAAGCCCCTGAGAGAGACGCGATGGATACGCTGACTGCATGAAGATCGGTTCACAGCATTAGGGGGAGATATGATCAAAATTGAAATAGAATGCCGAGAAATTTCATGAAATGATCTTCAAAAATTAAATCCACGTACCAATTAGATTGAACCAGAAGTTCATAAAGAAATCTGCCAAATAATCTATTTCATAAAAAGAGTGACTAGGTCCCATACATATTCCCCAAAATTGGACCATTGATATCTATCAATACTCCTTGATGCCAGAAGTACGGGAGATTCATTGGGATAGAAAAATAAAGAATCGACAAACAACTAGATCTAGTAAAGTTTTTTATGTCACTCTTAAAAATCTTAGAGCTCTTGAAAATTCTTAAAAAGTTATATCTTTAAGACGATCGTCCAGACGACGATAAAACCCAGTAAATTTATAGGTGCACCAAATAATCATAATACTGGGTTGCGGAACAACCAGATATAAATATCCTTGGGAAATGGCTATAATCTGGTTAACTTCAAAAATTACTTTTATATATATCTATATGGGAGAAATTATTGAAAAATGTTATAAGTTGTCGACAACACAATTGCCTTCAAAGTTGCTCATATTATATGACAATCTGGATCCAGAACTAGGTGCCGGAAGCGCCTAGATTGATTAACGTATAAAGAAAGCAATTAAAGGCATATATAGCTCAACTCGCTAAAAAATTCCTTTTATACACCATTGAAGTATTAACCCTGCAGGTTACAAATGGTGTTTGTATAAAGGAAAAACAAGAATGATAAGGTGGTGAGATGTAAAGCGAGTCTGTAGCCTAAGGGTTCATGCAGAAACCCATAATCAAGTATACTCTCCCATGACGAATATCATTTAAAGTTCCGCTACATAATTGGCAGAATAATAAAGTTAGATATGCAGCTTATTAAAGTCATGACCTAGAAATTATGGGTCATTAGACACTAATGTCTATCTCGAAAATCCTTGATGAATTTATAAATTCTCAAAAATGAAAGAAATTAAATATCACAACACTACTCAATTAATTATCTGAGTTAGGTAATCGATAAATCCTTTAAGCAGTTAGTAGATTCTTTTTAGTAGTTAGCTTATGTTAGTGTTTAGATTTATGAATGCTTGCATGCCTACTCAAAGTTCTTGTTCTTCCAAATATTCCAAAAAAATTCGTAAGCTTATTCCTGCAAATCTTGCATTACTTTGAGTTACCCATTCTAGAAAACTCCCGTTTTAAGAAAATTGGTTTGTTTAACCTTAGCTTCGGGGACGAAGCTTCTTTTAAGGAGGGTAGAATGTGACAATTCAAAAAATATTTTTTCTAAATTCTATTTTATAAAATTCCAAAATATTCATTTTCATTCTTCCAAATTTTTTTCTTAAAACGGTGTATAAATTAAATATTTTAAATCTAGCTTCTTCTTTTTTAAAAAAAAAACAATTCAACACCAAGAAATAGATTATTTTGAAAACCCTAAGTTTCAGGTATATTTATGTACCAAGTTTCGACCCAAAAAGTCAATCTGAGTGAAACCTGAGAAGAACATGTGAAACCTGAAACAAATGTGTTTTAATTAAAAACTATCTTATAGAAAATCTATTTTTGACCCAAAAGTTGTGCAAAATTATTTTAAGGCCTTAGTCTATGTTAAAGAATGAAACCTGATGATTTATACAAGCCAAAGTGAATGCCTGAATTTTGAACAAGCTAAATTACTCTTCTACCCTCATCAGCCAATGATATCTACCTAGGGTTTTGGACCCTTATATAAGCATCACTATTCCATTCATTTTCCCTCTACTGAGGCTAAATATAAAGCTCTAGCAAATGTCTGTGCTGAGGTAATTTGAATTCTGTCTTTGTTACGTGAGATTGGTGTTGCTAATATTCTTGTGCTAAGTTATGGTGTGATAATCTTGGTGCTACGTATATGTGTGCAAATTCCATATTTCATGCTCGCACTAAACATGTGGAGATTAATTATCATTTTGTTAGAGACAGAGTTGATGTTGGTGATATACATGTGATATACAAGTTAACTTTATTTTTACTAAAGATCAACTTGCAGATATATTTACTAAAACTCTTCCTGGACCCAGATTTGGACGAAAAAGATACTTGACTTTTTAATTTGTTCCAGTAATAGTCTTTCTATTATCCATCAGTCTCTTAGCCATTAGTTTAGGGAGCAAATTGGCCTTTTCATTATCTTGCTTTCTTCTTCCCCATTTTCTTCTTAGTCGTGAGTGTATTTGACGCAGAGAATGGTCCTCCTATAAGAATAATGGTTCTCAGTGACTTGATATTAAACAAATCTGTGAGATTTCTGAGCTGATACTTTGAACCAGAATTGTAAGAATCGTCAATGGCGGAAACCATGCCTCCATGAGCAAAAGCAAATTCAAATC